GATTATAATGACTTATACTGTCTTTTTAACGTGTTGCGTTGCATCGCGCCGCGTAAACATAAAACCATGTCTGCATTTGTGATCGGAGAAATGACAAACAACAAGCCCTACTCTACACTGCCCAAAAAAATCGCTTTATATATCTAAAATATTAAATATAAAAACTCTTTAAATATAAAAAACGCACTTACAGTCTGTGAGTCAGAACAGCCGGCATTGTAGTCTACTCTACCAGGATCAGGAAACAGTCCTCCATAAAATGTGCTGCACACATCTGAATATTTGGGTTGAAGTGTTCTGGAACAGTGTTGTAAATACAACTTAACCACTGATTTCTAGTCGTGTCCTCTTTTGGAAGGCCAAACAAAGTAGTTTCGTTTTTACAACGAAACACAGCGTCACACGTGGCGGCGGCGGCCTAGAGTGAGCGGAAGCCGGCGGCTAGAGTGAGGAACGGCCGGCGGGCTGAGTGAGAGGAGGCCAGTGAGCTTGAGAACGGTGCGGCCGGCAGATTCGATGAAGTAGCGGCCGGCGGGCTTGCGGCAACCACATGTTACGACCCCGGGCTGGACTCCGCTTCGTCCACGGTGAAAGCCGATCTAGGTAGGCATGGAGACTTTAGTCTTTGCAACTTTACAGATCTTCTTTAAGCACCAAGAGCTTGTAACACTTGAAAGAGAAAGGAAAAATTTAAATCGCATCATATGACCCCTTTAAGAGAAGCCTAACAGTGTTTTACTGGACAGAACAAGAACAAGTAATAAAGTGTGATGCAAACACACATAAAGAAAAATACGAAGTAGACAAACTGTAATGCCATGGTGTAGATTTATGGTTTTTATTAGGTGGAGAAGTGTGTTCTCAGTTCATCTGAGAATGGGCTATAAAGTTGTCCTCGCTAAAAACACTTAATTTTTTCATCAGGTTGGTGCCTGACATTCACATGTTTATAAGCAGCAAGCAAATGATGGTAAGCTTTGCCTTTTACAGCCATAAGGTGCAAAAGAGTTAGTACACTATAATGCTGTTTCATTAATCATTAATGACAACATGTTTTATTAAAACAAATTATCAGTGTTCTCAATTAATGAATCAGCTGTCATTAAGACACATTGTTCCAAACAATATCTTTCATAAGTGTATACTCTGGCTAGGAGTACAATATGAGCTCTGCAATTTTACCTTTTGTCCTCCGCGCCCTGGCTCACCAGGCTCACCCTGTAATAATAAGAATGCTTATAAGGGCTCATCTGCATACACCAAATGAAAAATAACAAGTAGGATTTATTAAAAACCCAGACTTAGAGACAAAATATTTCTGAGGTCCTGTCTTACCTTGATTCCAGCAGCAGAGGATCCAGCATCACCCTGTGAGAGATATAAAAATCATGGTAAATATATTTGATAAAACTAAGCCATTTGAAAGTGTAGTATCTTCTTCATTCCACTTGGGGAGAAATTCTGGAAGTCATAATGCTGCTGAGCACACAAAAGCCTCTAGTTAAACTGGAGCATAAAGCAGCTGTACTGTTATCCAAATATCAGATTATGTGAGTAAAAAGCAAAGCAGATTAGTGTCCACGAGCGTCCATTCGTTAAAGCTTCTCACACTGTCATAATACCAACAGGAATATAAAAAAAAGGCAGAAGGAAATTGTCATTGGTTGGGTATATTGTATCACATCATTTGTGCAGAAAGGTCATTCTGCTGTGAAATTGTCACAACATAATGTCATAACATTGTTCTATTAAGGCAAATATGTATGCATCACCCAGCGATTCTAGGATTTCAAAGTCAAGGGAGTTTGTAAAATCTTGCTCAGCAGGCTTATTTATTGGCATTTTATGTTGTAATTTAATGGGAACAAAGATACTAAGAATAATACTTCATGACATTTTTTAAAAGTTTTTTAACATCTGGTAAGAGGGGGGTTCAGAGTGAAATAAACTTAGTTATCTTGCTGCAGCCACTGTTTTAAGTAAACATGAAAAGAGATCACAATCACAGATTTTAATAAGTGCAGGGAGCCAGTTTTTAAGGGGCTGACATGCAGGGGCGTAAATTTCGTCTAACAGTAGGGGGGTACAATAAACATAAAATGTATTAAACATATTTTCTTAGCGATAGATGCTATTTACACTAAGTGAAAATAGCAGTATTTGTTTTGTGATATGCTATTTACACTAAGTGCAAATAGCTATTTATTCTATATTAAAATAGCAGGATAATCTGCAAATGACTTATTTGCCAATAGTGGCAATTATCTGCACCTCAGCATTGTAATACATTATAAAACAGTATGCAATAATAACTTATTGAGTGTAAATTAATTTTAATTCAAATTATTAAATGGATGCCACCTTATTGGGCAAAAGCCCTCCCCACACCTACCCTAACCCTACCCGATACTTTTTCAACTTTTTGATTATTTCCATAATTTTTATTAAAAATAAATGCTTTTCTGATGTGATTTGAAATTTGAAAAGGGAGAAAAAAAGTTTGCCAAAAGGCAGATTCGAACCCGGGTCGATCGCGTCAAAAGGTAAATGACACACGTTTTACCATTTGTGCCACTGGAAACCGCCTTCTGTAAAGTTGATTCACAGTTGTCCACAGAAAAAAAACCTGTATAAATGTTAGCTCCCCATTTGTATTTAAAAGATGTTGTTTTAACATAGCTTTGAACATGGGTAAGGATTTGGTAGGTCGGATAGATTGAGGGAGGTCATTCCACAGTTTAGGGCCTGCTCGAGAAAAAGCTCTGTCACCTCTATGTTTATATTTTGTCCTAGTAGCACAAAGCAGATGTTGATTTTCTGATCTCAAGGATCTAGAGGGGGTGTAGATTGCCACCATACTGGACAAATACACAGGAGCTAGACTGTGCAGGGCCTTAAAAACAAGAATGAGGATCTTATAAATAATTCTGAGTCGTACTGGCAACCACTTTAATTAAATGAATAACGGAGTCACCGATTCATATTTCTTTGCCGACTTGATCATTTTTGTTGCTGCATTTTGGATTTTCTGCAAACGCATAAGTGTTCGAACATCAACTCCATAATAGAAGGGAATTACAATTATCCATTCGAGAAAAGACAATGGCAGTAATTGCTTTCTCAAAATCTGAACTGGATAGAAATGGTTTAATCTTAGATAACAGACGTAAATTTAAAAAACAAGATCTCACCACAGTATTAATTTGCCTGTCCAACTTTAAGTCACTATCCAGAACAAATCCCAGATTTTTTATGCTAGATTTAACAAAACCAATCAAAGAAGTCACATTCAAGCACTGAAGCACATCATGCTTTCTAGGGCCGAACACGATAACTTCAGATTTGTTTTCATTAAGCGTCAAAAAATTTGCAGCCATCCAGTCCTTAACATTGTGTAAGCATGCTGATAGAGATTTTGAATTTAACTCTCTCATGGGCAAATACATCTGCAGATCATCAGCATAACAATGCAATGATACTTTATATTTTCGAAAAATAGCCCCCAACGGTAGAATGTAAAGGGAAAAAATAATTGGAGCAAGAATTGATCCTTGTGGGACTCTCCAAGTAATATGTAATCTTGAAGAATTACAGCCCCCAATACTAACAATAAATACCCCAAATAAAAATCTGTCCGTGAGATTAGATTTAAACCATTTAAGAACATTACCTTTTAGGCCAACCCAGTGTTCTAAGTGGTTAATTAAAAATCTCATGATCCACCATATCAAACACTGCACTAAGGTCAAGCAAAATTTAAATAACATTTTCGCCATTATCCAGTGAAACAAAGATGTCAGTTAGCACTTTGACCAACACTCTCTCAGTGCTATGGCAGGGTTTAAAGCCCGACTGAAAGGGCTCACCAATTGAATTCACAGTGAAATGTGCTTTTAACTGCTTAAAGACCACTTTTTCTAAGACCTTGGCTAAAAAAGGTCAATTTGAGATTGGTCTAAAATTATTAGGATCCTCTATTGCCAAATTAGGTCTCTTTAATAATGGGAGAACTGTAGCATGCTTAAAATCTGCTGGACAGGTGCCCTGGCTAAGGCATTTGTTAATTAGGTTCAACACTGTGGTCCCTACACTAGCAAAAATCTTCTTAAAATGACGAGGTGACATGAAATCACCTTTAGATGAAAAACGCTTAAGATGTACAACAATATCTGCCAAAACTGGAAGGGTAATATGATGGAATTCTCTCCATTCCATGCTACAAGGCACAGCCAGGTCAAAAGACGGAACCAGCTGCAACTTCGGTATTTTAGAATGGAAACCAACAATTTTATCATTAAAAAAATTCAAAAAGTCTTAGCAATTCAGGATAGAAGGATCTGGACACCTGGTTTGCCTAGGATTAATAACTGAATTTATGATCTCAAATAAAATTTTAGGCTAATTCACTTGTTGATTGATAACTTCCGAGTAATACTTATATTTAGCATCTCTAGAGGTCTTCTGAAATGTCAGTAACGATTCTCTGAATATCTCAATATCTGCAGTTTATGTTTTTTCCACCTCCTCTCAGCTTGTCGAGCATATTGTCTAAGTTCTAACTGCCCGTAGGGATTCATTAACCCATGGCAAATGTTTAAATTTACCCCTTCTAGCTTTAAGATGAGCAACATTATCTAAAATATCAACAAATAAAATAAAAAATGATTGTACTATGTCGTCCAAATTTCCATGCACCATTTAAACCTCCACATTCCATTGCATTAATAATGAGGTTAAATATCACTGATAATGAGCTTCTAATGATGATAGTAATCTATGGAGCCCGGGAAGTCACCTGTAGGAGAAAAAAAAAACAATCCGTGGCGACGGTTTTGCAATCCGTCCCCTCAGTTTATAAACCGTACTCGCAAATTCTTAAACTGTTCCCTCGGTTTAACAAATCGTGCCCACGGATTAATAAACCGTATCCACGAATTTCCAATCCGTGCGCGCAGATTTTGTAAACCGTACCTTCGGATTTTGAATCCGTACCCACAAATTCATAATCCGTGCGCACGCTTTCGCAATCCGTTCCCTCGGGTTTGTAAACTGTACTCACGGATTCATGCAGCAAGCTCCTAGGTAGCCTACATGTTAACAAATCATATTGTATATTGTTTTATTGCATATTATTATGTGGAATAGGCCAACAGCAAATAGTCTTAAGTGATTCTCTATCAATTGTAATGGTACGAGGTGGAATACAACGATTTAATAAGAAAGATGTGCATCAAAATCTTGTTTAATTTGTGATAATCTTAGGACTTGATTATTATTGTATAATAAACCTGGCATTGTGACTGACTTTGGAGTCATTTGTCATTTGCGAAAGCGTGCGCACGGATTATACATTTGTGGGTACGGTTTATTAATCCGTGGGCACGATTTGTTAAACCGAGGGAACAGTTTAAGAATTCGTGAGTACGGTTTATAAACTGAGGGGACGGATTGCAAAACCGTCGCCACGGATTGTTTTTTTTTTCCCTACAGGTGACTTCCCAGTAATCAGCTTAATACAGTGGGGAAAATATTTATTTGATCCCCTGCTGATTTTGTAAGTTTGCCTACTTGCAAAAGAAATGAAGGATCTGTAATTTTTATGGTAGGTTTATTTTAATGGATGGAGACAGAATACCAACCAAAAAAATCCAGAAAAAACACATTAGGTTAGATATTGATTAGCATTTCAGTGAGTGAAATAAGTATTGGATCCCCTACCAACCAGCAAGAATTTGGCTCCCACAGATTGGCTATGTGCCCATGTGGAACACAGATTAGTCCTGTTACTTTAAGAAGTTACTCCTAATGTCAGCTCGTTAGGTGTATAAGACATCTGTCCACACAGTCTGAATCTTCCATTCCAACCTCTCCCACCACAATGGGCAAGACCAAAGGATGTCAGAGACAAGATTGTAGATCTGCACGAGGCTGGAATGGGCTACAAGACCATCAGCAAGAAGCTTGGTGAGAAGGAGACAACTGTTGGTGCGATTATTTGAAAATGGAAAAAATACAAAATAACCATCAATCGGCCTCGGTCTGGAGCTCCGTGCAAGATCTCGCCTCATGGGGTAAGGATGATCATGAGAAAGGAGAGGGATCAGCCCAGAATCCCTCAGCCAGAACACTGAAGATGGGTCATGGATGGGTCTTCCAGCATGACAATCACCCCAAACATTTTGCCAAGGCAACAAAGGAGTGGCTCAAGAAAAAAAGCATATTAAGGTCATGGAGTGGCCTAGCAAGTCTTCAGACCTCAATCCTATAAAAAATCTGTGGAGGGAGCTGAAACTTAGAGCTGCCAAACGACAGCCAAGTAACCTTAAGGATTTAGAGAGGATCTGTAAAGAGGAGTGCACCAAAATCCC